TAGAAGCAGTCAGAGAAAAAAGACACATAATACACAAGTGAACAAAGATTAAAATGACAGCAGACTTCTTAGAGGTAACAATTTAAGCTTGTAGAGTTTTGAGAGGAAAATAACTGTCAAACTACAATTCTTTACACAGAAAAAATATCTTTTAAAAATGAAGGTGAAATAAATATCATTTCAGATATACAAAAGCTTGAAAGAATTCATCGTCAGAAGAGCTTCACTACACAAGATATGTCAAAGGAAGTCCTTCAGGCAGAGAAAAGATGATGCCAGATAGAAATGTGGATCTACACAAAGAAATGACGAGCATTAGAAATGATAACTAAGTGGGTAAATAAATATACTTTCCTCATTATTTAAAATCTCTTTTAAAAACAATCAACTACTTATATAACAAAAATGATAACAATGTTTTGTGGAGTTCATAACATTTATATTTTGGGGTTCAGAAGTACAGTGTATGACAATAATAGTGCAAAGGCCAAAAGAGGAGAAACGGGAACATGCAGGTGTCAAATTCTTATACTATACCTAAGGCAGTATAACACTCGAAGACAGACTATCATAAGTTAAAGATATGTACCCTAAGCCCTAAAGCAATGACTAAAATGACACAATAAAGAGTTAAATCTAAAAGAGTAGCTTTAAATCTTTAGACTGAATGTCCAAATGGTAGATATCTGTGATAGACTGAATAATGATATACATGTCCTAATCCTTGCAACATGAGAATGTTACCTTGTATGAAAAAAAAAAAGCTCTTAACAGTTTTTGTAATTATGTCAAATGTAACTACTCTGATTAAAAGGCGAAGATTATCTGATTGGAGAAAAAAGCAAAACCTAATTATATGCTGCCTATAAGAAATGTACTTTAAATATAAAGACACAAATAGGTTAAAAGGATGGAAAAAGATGTGCCATACAAACACTAACCTAAAGCTATGTTAATGTCAGACATAGTACATTTCAGAGCAAAGAATATTACCTATGATAAAGAGGGTCAGTTTATAATGAAAAGGGGTAAATTCATAAGTACTAAACATGTATGCACCTAATAACAAAGTTTCAAAATACATGAAACAAAAAGCAATAGAATTGCAAGAAGAAATAGACAAATCCACAATTAAATATTTCAGAGATATCAACACCAATCTCTCAATAATTGATAGAATAAGGAGACATAAAAATAAGGAAATAGA